AATGTCTTTATTTACATTTGTTTGACTTGTTTTTTTATCGAATCGGTCTTGGGCATTATTGTTATTTGTGATTTTTTATTATATTAAATTATTTATATTTTATTGTTTGTTGTAAAATAATTAAATGCACTTATGTTGCGATTTGTATATGTTTTTATTTTAATTTGCAACTAAATTAAAGGCAATCATTTTGATTGCACCTTTTAACTGTTATGTAGAACTTACAAAATAAACTCGTTACAATTTACAAAAATATTGGATGCAAATAATTAAAATATTGCAATACCTTTTTATATCAATACCTACAATTTGCAATAGTTATTACGTCAATACACACGACTGCACCAGAGACTCGATAAAAACGACGATTACCGAATCAAAAGCCGAACTTTTCCGAACCAGAAACCGAGTCAATCCGAAGTCTGCCGAATGAGTTCGGCACTAGTTTTATCACATGTCTCGGCTAATGTTTTGTTCATTCCAGTCTCAACACTAAACGAGTAAACGCAGTGTCTTGTTATTTTGTAGTAATTTTATTTGTGTTTTGAGTAACAAGTGATTGTTTTTTACGTTTGGTTATAACATAATTTTATCTCTCGATTATCGAGTGACCTTGTTAGATAAAGAAATCGTTAGACAAGAAATATATCTACGTTATATATTTTTGTTGTTGTTAAACAGCAATATGGAAGAAAAACGAAATACTCAAATGGATGAGATTGTTGATACTTTACCACAAGATTTACAAAAAAATATTGATAGCATCGCAAGGAGTGAAGGGTTCGTAACTTACAAGATTACAAGTAAAAACTTATCAACCAAAGGTGGTAGTTATATGGGCATTTTATACGAAGTAGACATAAAAGGAAAAACTAAAGATGAAGATAAAGAAACAAACATATTTGTCAAGAACATAGTCACTAACGAAAACATGAAGATATATTCGGTGACGGACGTGTTCGCTAAAGAAGCATTTGTCTATACGGAACTTTCGAAAATATTTACAGAAATACAAGAAGAAGCGAATATACCAAATGAAGAAAGATTCCTAATGGCTAAATGTTACGAGGAATGCAATCCAAAATCTATCATTCTTGAGAATTTGGGTCGGAGAGGATTTAAAGTCTATGACAGAATGGAGACAATTCCTTTAGATTACGCTAAGATGTGCGTCCAACAGCTTGGTAAACTCCATGGTCTTTCAATGGTCCTTCGAGAAAAAAGACCAGATTATTTTAATAAGCAAATTGTAACTATGAAACAGCCATTTAATTTTGAAGAAGATTGGTATGGCTATGTAGAGAATATGTACAACTATTCAGTCAATTGTTTAGACCCTGATGTTAAGGACAGAGTTGGACAAAAGATAAAGGACAAAGTCAACGATTATCCCAAGTATATGAATGACACATCTGGTTTTTGTACTTTCTGCCATGGAGATTACAAACATAATAATATTATGGTGAAAGAATATGTGAGTAAAATTCATTACATTCTTAATTTTTTAAATTTTTACATAACGGTTCTCTATTTTTGTATCTAATACTCGTATGTTACAATCAATTTATTGATTATTTAGGTTAGAGAGTTAATAATGAGATATAATGTATGTATTATCATGAATACACTAATTGTTATTTAAATTTTAGGATGGAAAGCTGAAGGAAGTATTTACCATTGATTTCCAAATATCCCATTATGGGTGCCCCATTTTGGATTTTCTATACTTTATTTTCAACGGCACCGATCAAGAATTTAGGAAGGCACATTTGTTAAGTCTAAAGGATTTATATTATGGGACTATGGAAAAGTTTTTGGAAAATTTTGCAATGGACATTTCTAAGATATTTCCTAGAATAGAATTTGAGAGAGTGTATAAGGAAAAGTTGGATTTTGGATTGATGATCAACTTGTTTTATGTTCCATTTCTATTTGCTGTGGCTGACGAGGCTCCTGATGTGGCCAATGAAACCTTGTCGACTTTATCTTTTAACGTCGATAGTAGATTCACTCCGAGGTTTCGAGGTGTAGTCGATGATTTCATACAATGGGGCTACTTGTAATGAATGCAATTGTAATTGTAATTTTTTTATTCATTATATGGCTTTTTATGTGTAATGTTTTTTTTATTTTACCACCTACTCGAAGACAATAACTTGTTTTGTGTGTGTGTGTGGGTATGTACACACGGCCACACATCAATCTATACAAAACCAGTTTATCCTGGTGTCGCGTCGCATTATCTTTCCGCACATTTAACGTTCATTTTATACTGGTTATGTAAAGCTCGATGTGTAGCCGTGGGTACATAATTAGATGTTTTTGAATATTATTACGTCTTTATTAAATAATTGAGCCAGAACATGTCAAGATTATTCAAACTTTCCTGTAAATATGTATTCTTAACATTATGGTGGAGTTGGCTTGTCAGCTACTAATTACCAAAACCTAGGAACGTCAATTTAAAATATCTGAAGAGTGCAGGGTCAAAACCTGGCTAATTCCAATGTGACTTTTTACGCGTTTTATGTAGATACCTTTTAAACTGACAAACGGTTAAGGAAAATATCGTGAGAAAATTTGTACTTGGAATTTCAAATTAAAAGTTTTAAAATGTTGCCCCACACTTGCATTTTCTTATGTGTCGTCAGTGCGGTTACAAACATACAAGTTCACATACACATGACACTCAGACTCAGAACAACAAACTGTCGATCACACAAAGAGTTGTTCCGTGCGGGAATCGAAACCGTACACGTTGCCCGGCAGCCAGTTGCTCAGCCACCGCGCCAACCTTTTATCCCCGTAGGTTAGGTTAAAGTTATAACATAACATCAGCCTTTTATTCCCGAAGGGGTAGGCAGAGGTGCACATTACGGCACTTAATGTCTCTGTACAATGTAACACACCCACTTTTCACTATTTATGTTATGAGTTCCATTTATATATTCAGTGCCTCTGCATACCTCTTGTGGGATAAAAGGCGTGATGTTATGTTATGTTTTAAATGTACAGCCAAATTGTAAAGTCGTAAGATGATGAAAAATGGTCCAAACCTTTTTTTAAAGGGGAAGGTCATCGAATGACTTTCCCGTTCGGGTGAGGCGAGAGGGAGTGTCAGACTCTTACTTACTAAACTAGTTCAACAACTACTGTTACTACTGTTACAGTTACTGACTAAACTCTGACAACACGGTTAGTGCGGTGGCTGGGCAACCGGCTGCCGTGCAACGTGTCGCGGTTTCAATTCCCGCATGGAGCAACTCTTTGTGTGATCCACAGATTATTGTTCCGTGTCTGGGTGTTATGTGTATATGAACTTGTATGTTTGTAAACACACCTACGACACAAGAAAATCCTAGTGTGGGGCAATGTTTTAATTGAAATAAAAAGAAAACACTACCCCGTTTTTACTCCTGCACTTCGAGCCGGAGCCCCGGCAACCCGTTCAGTCCTCTTCGGCTTCGTACGTGTAGGTCCATACCTACGATTTAACTGTAGGTACAGTTTAACTGGACAGATAAAACTGAAGGTGTGTAGCCTGCTTTAGGTTAATAGGCACTTGTTTAGAGATTAGACTATGTTTTGGAGATCTATTCTCAAATAAACAAAAATATTTTAGTTACTTAAGCCCCGTATTCATGGTAAATATTCGTTTAGCAACAAAGTTGAATCAACGTGTTGCGGAGTTGCTGTAGAGATGTTGCTGGCAACATTGCGTGTTGCAGAGTTGACAGCGTCATGTTGACAAGCTCTCGCCCGACCAGCGTAAGCGTAAACATCAGTTTAGCGAAGATGGTTGACGTGTATGAACGTGTTTGCAACAGTTTAACTCGTCGAGTACCGTCATTATAGACACAATTATAGCACAATAGGTTGCGGTCACCGGTGACCGCTTGGTGTTTGACAGTTTAAAGGAACAAAAAGAACAAAACAAAAAGAAAGTAGTCGGTAGTTTAGTTTGTGAAACAAAAAGAACAATGCATTCGAAGAAATTTCTCAAGAATTTTTTTTTAAATTTTTCTGACGAATATTAGTTTCCCTTTTGGCTATTGATGGACCAATCATTTCCAGAAGATGTTCGAAATCACTTTTCGACACCCTCGTATAGTTACCAAATGATTCATCTCCCATTCTGAGGTCACCCATCCAATTTGCTCTTTGCAAAAGATAGTTTCGAATCCACCATCTTTTTCTCTTTATTTTATTAGAAATCCTATACATCAGACACAGAAAACACAACAACACTACCTCCTCGGGCAACATTTTAACGCAGACTGGCGTGTGGATAATCTGTATTGATTTAAACATAGTTGCTGTTATCAAATTAGTTTAAACATATTTGAATTAATATTAATTTTGGACATTGGACCTACTCGTACATGGATATTTAATTACCTAATTAGTTTGTTTTTAAGTACTTAAATAATAGTATTTATATAAGATAATGATAATATAACTTAATGGCGTAAGCTGTAGTGTTATAGAGGTATATGTAATTTTTTTAAATAAATAAGTGGATATTTTGTCGAAAACACATTTCGAATCTAGGTTTTAAGGGTTAAAGTCGATTATTAATTTCTTTAACTGCTTTTTCTATTAAAACGGTCGTCGGAAATGATTCTATACTACAAGCCAAATTGTTTTAAATTTTAACAACTTAATAAGCTGCCATAACACTTCATGAAAGGAGTTTTCATTCTTATACAAAAATGTCTCTACTCCCAAAGACGTTAAAAAAGGCGAACACAGTCTTTGGAAACAACGACTGTAGTACCTGGCTACTATAGACTTACATGCTGAACATACACACATTGAAACGAAAGACATCTGTCATTCTCTTAAACCTGGTAACGTTGTAACTCATTACACACGCACACATGCATAAACCACTGACATTTTGGTGCTTCAATCGTTTGTAAGTGACATTACGTCCGTGTTTTTTCAATGTCCTTGCTTACTCGATGACCTGCAAAATAAATTAGTTGATAATATTGAATGTCAAAGAAAACTAAACACAATGTTTACTTTGTATGTAGAAATGTGCAAGCACAAAGACAACACGCAAGCAGATTACTTGCAATAACTACTATGCAAATATTTACAGGAATTGAGACTTTATATGTATGCATAATTAAGATAATTTATTTATTAATTTGTTTATTTATCTTTATTGGCCCACTAACAATTGTATACATTATTATATTAAACAAAAAACATTTAAATAAGATAATAGTAAAATGTTACAATCGATTACAGGCGAGGAACGCATTATTTAAGAAAAAAAATATCAATAATTGGATGCAAAATTAGAATATAAGATGTTGGTTAAAAATTCAAATTAAGTTGCATTAATTTACATGAATAAATTAGCAATAGATTAATTAGAGGAAAAGAAAACGCTGCAATAGAATATGAAACTAAAATAAAATGAAATCAAAATCAAAATCGAAATCGAAATCGACACTGAAATCGAAATCGAAATCCAAATCCAAATCAAAATCAAAAACAAAATGAAAATAAAATCAAAATCAAAATTAAAATAAATTAAATTATATATTGCATTATCATCATTATATTTCTACGATGACGTATATTTACGTTTTGAATTGATTGTGAAATGACTTTATGCATATATTTTATATTCGTTGGGCAATTTTATTTCTCAAAAACCATCTGATCAGTTTTTAATTTCATTCTTATATCGAACATATAAGTTCTTTATAAGGAACATGGTCCATGTTCCTAATTAAAGTTTATTTTTGTAACGAAATTAGAGGAAAATGTGAATACACTATGCATACATTGCACAAGGCCGTCACAGACCTAGCTATAATATATATTGTAGCTAGATTTGTGACAGCTTTAATTATTCCCTACCTGGCTACCAGTGATAAATAAAACAAAATATAATGCTGCTCCAGTGTGCATAAACCCTTTATCATTAACTAGCTTTTGCCCGCGACTTCGTCCGCGTGGAATAGTGACTTCCGGCAGATTTTTGATTCTTCCCACATCGTTCCCGTTCTTGCGGGACTTTCGGAAAGGTCAAGTTCCCGCAGAATTTTCAGGATAAAATCTATGTTTTTTTTCGAGTTTCAAACTATCTGTACAATTTTTAAAGTATATTAGATTATTTTAAAGAACTTCTGCATATACTACATTTTTTGTTTTATTATCTTGTGGCAGAAGAACATATTGATTTTCGCCACAATCCGATCTTGTTGATTGCGAGTTGGTTTTGTTTCGGAGTTATTTATCATTGTAATCTTTTAAGTTTTTTGTTCAAATTAAGTTATGTCAAAGACAATTTTATTCACAATGAAGTACTCTTAACCAACAACATATTTTATTTGAATACAGATTAATATTATTATGTTAAACAAATTATTTCGACCAAATTAGGTACCACAAAAACGGTTTTTGTGAGTTCATCTTAAAAGATAGACATATACTGTCGCGGACTTTTGATTGTGATGTTATATAGCCTATAGCCTTCCTCGATAACTGGAATATCGAACACAAAAAGAATTATTCAAATCAACCCAGTAGTTCCGGAGATTAGAGCGTTCAAACAAACAATTAAGCAAACAAACAAACAAACAAACTCTTTAGCTTTATAATATTATAAAGTATAGATAGCGTTTGCTATTTAAGTAAGTATTGTGTTGTAAGCAGGCATAGTATCTGAATAGTCGTTACGATAGTGTCATCGTTCTCATTCATAATGCAAGTCGAAATTCATCCTGAAAATTTCAAACTCAAAAATCAATACATCTGCCCAAATAAGATCTCAAATAAAGTCGATCAGTGTATCAGAAACATAGCAGACAACAATGGATTTGTCAAGTACAGCATTGAAAAGAAAGAATTCTGTACAAATGGAGGCAATTATCTAGGATTACTTTACGAAGTCGATGTAAATGGACACACTAAAGAAGGCAAGAAAGAACTAAATATATTCGTCAAAAGCATTCTCACAGGTAACTGTGATTTGAAAATACTATCTGTAGACGACGTCTATAAAACTGAAATGTTCGCTTACAAAGTACTTCTGAAGATATTCGATGAACTACAAGAAGAAGCTAATGTACCAGAGAAGGAAAGGTACAAAATGGTCAAGAGTTATGAAGAAAGTGATGCAGAAGTGATTATAATGGAAAATGTCGCAAAAAAGGGATTCAGTACTGGACATAGGATGGATATTCCATCTTTACAGTTTGCAGAAAAGGCTATTGCAGAACTTGCCAAATTTCATGCATTTGCTTTCGTGCTAAAGGTAAAGCGACCAGACTTTTTTGAAGAGCAAATTAAAACTAGGAAAGCGACATATATTGCTGGTGAGCAATGGCAAGGTCTCGCACGGAATATGATTAAGACGGTAATGGATAATATAGATGATGGAGTCAAGGAACGGGTTGAGAAGTTTTGTGAAAATATTGTGGAGCGATTCACGAGTTCTTATGAAGATGAGTCTATACGACGATGTCTCTGCCATGGTGATTACAGGCCTAACAATATACTGACCAAAACTGTCGTAAGTGAATTATATATTTTAATTAAGTATACTAATTGTAGAGTTTCGATATTTTCTGGTTCAAGTTTTATTTAGTCTCCTCTGCTTACTGGTCTAACGCTATCTTCTGAAGAAGTTGCAGACGAGAAGTTACAGGAGTCGGTCTATCGAAATATTAGACCCAAGTGAAATTATTAACATAACATAACTTCGCGCCTTTTATCGCAAGGGGTAGGCAGAGGTGCACTTTATGCCACTGTACAATGTAACACCCACTTTTCACTATTTATGTTATGAGTCCCATGTAGTAGAGGGTGAGCCTATTGTCATATACCGGCCACAATTCCAGACTCTATGCTACTACTGCGAAATAAATATTTTAGAACCCAGTAATACTTTGCCCGACCAGAGAATCGAACCCAAGACCCATTGCCCGGCAGTCGCACTTGCAACCACTCGGCGAACGAGGCAGTCAGATGGGCTTTAATAGGGTGAAATTATTATGAATAGTATCGAAACACAAGTTTACTCTAAGAAACAATCCATGTATTTTGTAGATCGAAACAGAAATGTGATAGGAAGTATAATATTAGTTTTACAAGATAAGACTATTCATATAACATTATTAAATACGCATATTTTATCACTTGTGTATAGAGGAAGGTACTTGTTAGTTAGTTGAAAAAAATTAAAGAAAAAGTACAATGCTAAACTTTTACCTTAATTGAATCAAAAAAATAAGAATAGCTGCGGTTTTAAGTTCAGATAAAGTGGAAATAGCTGATAGAATTATTAATATCTAATTTTCCAACAGGATGGAGAGATAACAGAACTGATTCCAGTGGACTATCAACTGATGAACTACGGGTGCCCCATAATAGACTTCTTATATTTCATCATGTTCTGTACAGATAAGCCGTTCCGTAAAGCTCATCTGATGCACTTGAAAGACGTATACCACATGACAATGACAAGATTTTTGAAATATTTTGACTTGGACATCGACAATTTTTATTCCCGGGACGATTTTGAGAAGGACTATGAAGGGAGATTAGGTTATGGACTTGTATTCTCTCTCTTATTTCTTCCTTTTATGTTCGCGACGGAAGATGATGTCCCTGATCTGTCAAAGGACGATATGGCTAATTTAAGTATCAATGTTGATGATAGGTACAAGAATCGGATTCAAGGAATTGTTGACGATTACATCGAGTGGGGTATTATTTAAAGTATTACATATATGGAATATATTTTTGCTTTCTATTTAATTTTAATTAAGTATTCCATACCTATATGGAATATATCTTTTTAATTTTATTTTTAATGTCTTTATTTACATTTGTTTGACTTGTTTTTTTATCGAATCGGTCTTGGGCATTATTGTTATTTGTGATTTTTTATTATATTAAATTATTTATATTATATTGTTTGTTACAAAATAATTAAATGCACTTATGTTGCGATTTGTATATGTTTTTATTTTAATTTGCTACTAAATTAAAGGCAATAATTTTGATTGCACCTTTTAACTGTACGTGTTATGTAGAACTTACAAAATAAACTCGTTACAATTTACAAAAATATTGGATGCAAATAATTAAAATATTGCAATACCTTTTTATATCAATACCTACAATTTGCAATAGTTATTACGTCAATACACACGACTGCACCAGAGACTCGATAAAAACGACGATTACCGAATCAAAAGCCGAACTTTTCCGAACCAGAAACCGAGTCAATCCGAAGTCTGCCGAATGAGTTCGGAACTAGTTTTATCACATGTCTCGGCTAATGTTTTGTTCATTCCAGTCTCAACACTAAACGAGTAAACGCAGTGTCTTATTATTTTGTAGAAATTTTATTTGTGTTTTGAGTAACAAGTGATTGTTTTTTACGTTTTGTTATAACATAATTTTATCTCTCGATTATCGAGTGACCTTGTTAGATAAAGAAATCGTTAGACAAGGAATATATCTACGTTATATATTTTTGTTGTTGTTAAACAGTAATATGGAAGAAAAACGACATACTCAAATGGATGAGAGTGTTGATACTTTACCACAAGATTTACAAAAAAATATTGAAAGCATCGCAAGGAGTGAAGGGTTCGTAACTTACAAGATTACAAGTAAAAACTTATCAACCAAAGGTGGTAGTTATATGGGCATTTTATACGAAGTAGACATAAAAGGAAAAACTAAAGATGAAGAAAAAGAAACAAACATATTTGTTAAGAACATAGTCACTAACGAAAACATGAAGATATATTCGGTGACGGACGTGTTCGCTAAAGAAGCATTTGTCTATACGGAACTTTCGAAAATATTTACAGAAATACAAGAAGAAGCGAATATACCAAACGAAGAAAGATTCCTAATGGCTAAATGTTACGAGGAATGCAATCCAAAATCTATCATTCTTGAGAATTTGGGTCGGAGAGGATTTAAAGTCTATGACAGAATGGAGACAATTCCTTTAGATTACGCTAAGATGTGCGTCCAACAGCTTGGTAAACTACATTGTCTTTCAATGGTCCTTCGAGAAAAAAGACCAGATTATTTTAATAAGCAAATTGTAACTATGAAACAGCCATTTAATTTTGAAGAAGATTGGTATGGCTATGTAGAGAATATGTACAACTATTCAGTCAATTGTTTAGACCCAGATGTTAAGGACAGAGTTGGACAAAAGATAAAGGACAAAGTCAACGATTATCCCAAGTATATGAATGACACATCTGGTTTTTGTACTTTCTGCCATGGAGATTACAAACATAATAATATTATGGTGAAAGAATATGTGAGTAAAATTCATTACATTCTTAATTTTTTAAATTTTTACATAACGGTTCTCTATTTTTGTATCTAATACTCGTATGTTACAATCAATTTATTGATTATTTAGGTTAGAGAGTTAATAATGAGATATAATGTATGTATTATCATGAATACACTAATTGTTATTTAAATTTTAGGATGGAAAGCTGAAGGAAATAGTTACCATTGATTTCCAAATATCCCATTATGGGTGCCCCATTTTGGATTTTCTATACTTTATTTTCAACGGCACCGATCAAGAATTTAGGAAGGCACATTTGTTAAGTCTAAAGGATTTATATTATGGGACTATGGAAAAGTTTTTGGAAAATTTTGGAATGGACATTTCTAAGATATTCCCTAGAATAGAATTTGAGAGAGTGTACAAGGAAAAGTTGGATTTTGGATTGATGATCAACGTGTTTTATGTTCCATTTCTATTTGCTGTAGCTGACGAGGCTCCTGATGTGGCCAATGAGACCTTGTCGACTTTATCTTTTAACGTCGATAGTAGATTCACTCCGAGGTTTCGAGGTGTAGTCGATGATTTCATACAATGGGGCTACTTGTAATGGATGCAATTGTAATTGTAATTTTTTTATTCATTATATGGCTTTTTATGCGTAATGTTTTTTTTTATTTTACCACCTACTCGAAGGCAATAACTAGTTTTGTGTGTGTCTGTAGGTTTGTACATAATTAGATGTTTTTGAATATTATTACGTCTTTATTAAATAATCGAGCCAGAACATGTCAAGTTTATTCAAACTTTCCTGTAAATATTTATTCTTAAAATTATGGTGGAGTTGGCTTGTCAGCTAGTAATTACCATAGCACGTAACGAACGTTGAACGAACACCTATTTCTAACATGCTTTTAATGTATTAAAATTCGTCATAGATATTTATACAAATACACAACATGACCTTTCATTTGCGAATAAAATATACGGAAATGTACCTAAATGTAAAAGGTTTCTTATTAATTTATTATTCTTCTGCCCTTTAAACAGATTTTCTTGGAAGATATAAAACCTTATTTTGTTAGGAATAAGGTAATGCAAACTGAGATAATTTAATGATCTTGCGTGCGTCGTGTTTTTCTATTAAATTCGACCCCTTAGGGATAAGTGAGGTTCCACGAATTGTATCGCTCACCGCCTTGAGGCGCATGCGCGCAAACTTTTAATATGAACTATTGCTATTTTATTATTACTAGGTGTATGTACTGTTGTGTAACTTATGACTTCTTTGAATAACTCGTCCTCACGCGACTAATGGAAAGGTTCAGAGTTCAATATCCAGGTCGAGCGTTTTAATGGTATTTTATAAGTTTATTGCAACATACTTCGTTTTCTCACAAGTCTTATTCATATTAATAAAGTGTACTTTAGTTTTGTTTTCTAGAAATACGGCAAGTATTCATAGTAAGCATGCATGCTCCTGAGACAATGAAATTAATTATCTTAATGTTTGGCTGTTTAATCTATAGTGTAAGTCTTTGTGTCCCCTTTGTACAACTAGGATCAGGATAAGCTCAATATACCCAAATAAAAACTTTGTTCTTGTCGGATAAGCCGGTAATCGAACAGACGGATAACCTGATGGTAAGCAATCGGGGTCGCCCATGCGCGACACCTAGAACACCAGAGGCGTTACAAGTGCATTACCGGTCTTTTGGGAATTAGGAATTTGAGGATTCCTTGGGATTCAGAGATTGGGAGATTGGGGAAGGGGAGAAGGGTAATTGGACATCTGGTAACCTCACTCACACGACGAAATACAACGCAAGCGTTGTTTCACGTCGGTTTTCTGTTCGGCCGTGGTATCACTCCGGTCGAGCTGGCCCATTCGTGCCGAAGCATGGCTCTCCCACACTAAATCCAATTTAGTACTTCACATATTTTAATGGCAAAATCTTTAATCATTAATCGTATTATGAATTAAAGTACGTACATAATAGTTAGGTATATATAATGCTAAGTATTTCATTATAATGAACATTAACATTCATATCGCACTGTAAATAACTTAAATAATAGGTAATAACAATGAATAGTAATTTATTAATCTGATTAAAATTATATTAGAAGTATTTACATTACTGTAAAGGTATTTAAATGGCATAAACTAATCGCATAACATTTCATTAACTTTAAATCACACATGAGTTTGTCAAAGGGAGGTAAGCAGAAATCATGTTCAGTTTATATTTAACTTCCAATGAAGAAGATATGTTCAATCTATTGAACTGAAATATAGTAGGTATACACGTTTAGTTTGAATGATCATAAATGCTTAGTTTCAAAATTTGTCGCGGGATTTATGTGAGGTATACCTAAATGTCCACCTAGTATTTATTACCAGTTAGGTATTATATTATAATTATTATTGTCAAAGTAATAGGGGG